AGCATGGTAGGGCAGAATGACTGTAGTTCTCCTTTGCTTGTGAGGTGCTTCATGGAAAATGGATTGGAACAGGGGCAGTAATGGAAGCAGGGAGACCAGGAAGGCAGAAGGTTATTGCAGTAATACAGGTGAGACATGCCAATGGCATGAATGAGGTAGGCAGTGGAATGGGGAGAAATAAGTGGAGGTGAGAATGTAGAACTGAGAAAACCTAGAGACAATCAGACACAGGACTTGAAGGAGAGGCCAGTGTCAAGGAGGATTCGCATGTCTCTGCCTCCAGAGATGATGGAGCCCTTTAGGAAGGCAGGGGCTACTGCAGACATTCAGCCAGCATTTGGCCTTTGTGAGTCTCAGCTGGAGGCATAGATTTAAGAGTCATCTGCATTTGGGCTGTACCAGAAGCAGTGGGAGTGGATGAGCTACCTAAGTGAGAGGTTATAGAGTCAGAAGAACAGAGAGCTGAGGATGGCTCCTGGGACCCTAACCTTTAGGAAGAGGCAAGTAAAAGACTTAGGAGCCTAGAAAGAAGCCTGGAAGGAAATAGTGTCCAGTTGCATCTGCCACATGGACAAAGGTAGAAGAACAAAGATGTGTCCATTAAACTACGTAATAGTCAGATGTTAGCATGTTTCCTGAAAGCTGGCGCCCAGAGAAGAAGCGAGTCTCCATAATGCAGTTTTTCATGAACTTGAAAAGAAATTCAAATTTGGAAGGAAAAGCCAGACACGTGGAAAGTTCTAGAGGTGATGTAGGGCCAAATTATTATTGGAAAAGATGGAAAAGTATAGTCCCAGCACAGTGGATGGAGGCTGGTCACTTAGAATAGAACATGGTCTCTGGAGTCAGGCTGATCTGCATTTGAATCTCAGCTTGGCCTGTTTTCAGCTGTGTGACTTTAAGCCAGTTACTTAACTTCTCTATATCTGTTTCCTTATCTGTGAAATAGGGATAATTCTAATAGTACCCACTTCCTATGGTTGTTGTAGAAACTGAATGAACTAATGTGTCTAAAGTGCTTAGTGCAGTGTGTCCTGCATACTAAGTGTTCAATAAATGTTAACTCTTACTACTATTACTATCAGAGGGGAAAAAAAAAGACAAGGAGGTTTCAAGATGGAAGTGGTGAGTAATGATATCGGATATAGCAGCTAGGACAAGGAGAGAGAGGGTTGAGAAAAGGCCATGGATTTGGCAGAGTGCTAGCAGAGCCTGCAAAGAGGGTTCATTCATTTCACAAAATACTTACTGGTTGCCTACTAGGTGCCAGGCATGGTTTTAGGACTGGGAATACAGCCGGGAACAAGACAGACAAGATCCCAGCTTATACATTATAAACCCTTAAACAAATGAACAAGAAAACATCAGGTACTGATAAATATTGTAGGACAGCAATAAGAGCAGCTAAGGAGTGAATGGGAGAGGGGAGAATGGAGGCCATAGGTATGGAACACCCTTTCTGTAGCAGTTGACAGCAAATGTGAGAAATAACGAGAGCAGGTATTAGAGGAGAGGAGATAAACTCTGATTTGGGCTGCAGCCAGAGAGTTGGGGGTGGTGGTGCTGGGAGTATTTAATACTAGGGGGCAGGGATGACACCATCTTTTAAATCACATCTTAATTTGATACCATAAATCTTCACCTTTGCTGAGCCTGGGCATCCAGGGAGACTCTTTGACAAATAAGGAATGAGCACTAAAGGGTGACTGTTTGTGGGTGAGTGGTGATAACATAACTCAGTGAGGAGGAAAAAGAGGAGTTGAGTTGTTGGCTTGTTAAGTTTCAGAAGCCTAGGGTGCCATTGGCTGGAGAGTCCCTGACTCAGAGTCCAGCCAGAACATTAGACGGGATCAGTGCTGGAGACATCAGCAGAAGGTGGTCACTGAAGCCAGGAAAGTCGATGAAAAGACCTGGCAGGAGAAGACAGTCCAGGAAACACTGGGGCTGGTGGAGGCAAATGAGCCACAAAAAAAAAAAAAAAAAAGAGAGATGGAGAGAGAGTGAGTGTGAGCGGGTCGGGGAAGGTTGGGCTGTGGAAACTGTGGCAGGAACACTTCACTTGGCAGAGTAGAAAGAGGACCACAATCATCAACTGAATGTCTCAATTAGGAAGGGACTGTGGACCATTGCTGAAACCTTCTCAGTGGGGTGGTGAAGGCAGAAACCAGATTTGGGTGGATGGGCTGTGAAAAAAAGATGAGGAAGTGGAGACAGTAAAGACTGTTTTCAGGAAGTTTGGTGTTAAATCGATGGAGACGTATAGGGCAATGGTTAAGGAGGCAGGTAAAATTTTAATAGTGAAGACAGATGGGTCAGAGAAAACTTCAGGTGGGCAGCAACAAATGGAAAGAGAGTAACAGAAAAAGGGAGATGCCTTTGTTACCTCTAGTACTGAAAAAATAGTTAAATAACCAGAAATTTACATGCATAAGCCCTTCAACTGAACAAGGCAGTTAACTACATTTCTCTGTGGCATCTGCTAATTCTTACCCATGGGGCTAGAGAGCACAAGACTGCTGTATAGGGTGCTGTTTCTGGCCTCCACGTCATCTACCTGGAATGCCTTTCCCGGTGGCCCCCACCCTGTTCTCCTGAGATAATCTGACTACAGAAAGGGCTCACCACTTACTTTCTATGAGCTTCTTGTCATCTCATCCTTAACCTTTAGTTGACCCAATCCACACCTGAGCTCCCTCTGTAACTTTCATATGATTTTTTTGTTGCTGAGTTCACAATATGAAATTTGTTACTTGCCTTCCCCCAGCAATGAGCCTCTGGAGGGCAGGCCCTGGAACTCCTGTTTCTAGAATACTCAGAGCTTAGGGCCTGGCACAGGTAAATGGGTTCTTAAAGGGGCTGAGTGAGGGTAGTCACTCATTTTTGAATCCTTCACGGTCTTGCCTTGTGATTTAGTTGTTTTCTCATCTTTTCCCTTTTTCTGTCCACTGCGTCCGAAGCCCTGGGATACAATCCTCAATTCCTCCAAAAGGGCCCGAGGTGTGGGGTGAATCTGGTGGCTGCTGGAAGGAAAGCAGAGAAGCCGGACCCAGCGGCCTCCCGGAGCGGCCGGCAGAGGGCGCGCCGGGACCAGGAGAGTGGAGGGGGCGGCTCCGGGATAGGGAGGGCCGGGGATTCCAGGACAACTGAAGCGCATTTGGGGGCGAGCGGCGCGTGGGGGGCATGTGTGCTGCTCCGGGCGCTCTTTCCGGGCTAAAAATACGCGCTGCCCAGCGCTACCACCCTGGATTGTTGAAGCGGAACTCGGGAGGAGCCGCATTATTTTGGGAGGGAGACTGAGGCTCCCAGGCTGGACCTCTCAGGCTCCTGAGAGACCTGGGACAAGCCTCGTACTGAGCCTCAGTGCAATGGGGACCATTCATTTATTCAGTAAATATTGAGCGCCTACGTTATGCCAGGCATCAAGCACAGTTACAAAATTACAAGGTTCTTATTTGCTGGGGAGTTTACAGTCTAGTGTGCGTGGGGGGGGGGTAGGGAGACAGAATAAATAAGCAAACGAACAGGATAACATATTTTCAAAAACGTCATGAAAGAAAGAAAGGATGAAGTGATAGTGATGAGCGATACATAAGCTGGTACTTGAAGAAGAGAGCCACCCTAAGAGACACGGAGGACACGTTCTAGGCAGAGGAAACTGCATGTGTAAGGGGCTGAGTCGGACAAATGCTGGTCAGTTGGAGGAAAGAAAGAAGACAGAGGGGAGCGAGGTCAGGGAACTGGGAGAGGGACCCACCGCCTGCGAGAGACCATAGCGCCCAGCCTGTGGAAGTGAGGGCCCTGAAACGAATGGATAGTGGTAGAAATCAGAGCAGCAGCGGTGTCGGGGGAGCTAGGATCGCCAGGAAGGGGTCTCCAGGGCGCTTCTTGGAGTGATAGAAAAATACCTTGATTAGGGTGTTGGTAACAAGGACGGACACATTTATTAAAACTCAGAGAATAGTCCACTGAAGATCTGTGCATTATATGTAAATTTTACCTCAAAAAACAAACCAAATAAAAGTGAGGGGCTCCGGATGGTGAGAGCAACTGTGAGCAGGATAAATCACTCGGCACCGCTTTCTCGCCTGCCCTGCGGGCAGACACCGCAGCCCCGGGGGCTGCGGGGGCATCCTCTAGAGAGAGGGTACCGAGAGTGCCTGTGAGCTGGCAGAAGGCGTCTGCACTGGGCAGGGTGCGGGCAAGGTCTCCTTCTAGGGCGGAGGTCGCGTCTAGACCCGCGGTGCTGCTCACCGTCAGAACCTATGCGGGGGGCTCCAGTCCTCTACCCTCCGCCCCGTCGTCAAGGGCAACCTTGGAGCCACGCCCCGGCCCCGCCCTTCGCGCAGAGGCCAGGTGGCGGTTGGGGCGCGACGAGCCCGTTTGATTTCCCGCGGCCGGTGGAAAGGGGCGGGGGGGAGGGGAAAAGGGCGGTCGGCCAATGAGTTGAGCGAGGCGTAGTCACGTGGCGTCTTCGGGGCGGGGCCCAGGTGTACTTACGGGGCAGCGGGCGGGGGCCTCGGCATCGGTGCGAAGTCCAGGAGGCGGGGCCGGCGTGCGAGCTGGGGGCTACTCGTCCAGGATTGGCCTGTGGCCGGGAGGCGGGGTCTGCGCGCCCAGCGGCCGCGGGCTGTGATTGGCCTCGGCTCAAGGCCCGCTGCCGGCTTGCTTGCGAGGCTCGGGGCGCGAGGACCGAGTGGGGCG